GTCTGTACTGTCAGCTGGTCAGCTGTCACTGTGTCTGTACTGTCAGCTGGTCAGCTGTCACTGTATCTGTACTGTCAGCTGGTCAGCTGTCACTGTGTTTGTACTGTCAGCTTGTCAGCTGTCACTGTATCTGTACTGTCAGCTGGTCAGCTGTCACTGAATTCCTTACTCAGAAATTCACACAGTGTCTTTCTAAATGGCTAGAGAACTGCAACTGACAGTCCAATTATGAGGCATTTAGCCTTGATCAAATTATAATTAGCAATCAGAAATAAACAAGAAAATATAAAATTGTTACCCGGCCGGGCTGTGCCCCTGTTTGCAGCCAGTTTGACAGCTGCCAGCTTATTAATAATAATAACAACAAGAAGGTCAATGCTAGCGGCTTTAAAAGTTCATTAATGTGAATCTGAAATGACAAACATGGAGCTCTTAGATGCATCGATTGTTATTCTTTTATTACTAGTAAAGTGAGAATTGTTTCATAATGAAATCTTTATGTATACTAATGCCCTAGAATTGAAACTGTACATTTTGCCTAATCTCCTTAATTTTCAGCATGAATATGCAAGTCTTTCAGAGTGAAATGGGTACATGGGGCATAAATAGATCTAATAATGCCAGTTATGGATATTTAATGATAATTTGATGAGTAATTCTGGGTCACATGGCTGCTGGAGTTCTCTCTGATTGCAGCTGTGTCATCTACACAGACGTTAGAGTAATTTTACCTCCTTCTTTATTTTTGTTTTAATAATGAGACCGGAAACTCAAAGTGTTTCCTTGTCCGTGCTGGTGATGGATCCATAAGTCTAAGTCACATATCCAGAACAGGGTAGCAGTCTAAGTCACATATCCAGAACAGGGAAGCAGTCTAAGTCACATATCCAGAACAGGGGACACAACGCCGTGATGCGCGATTGACGAACAAACGCATTCACATATTCAGATTTAGAGAGATGAAACCTGTGGATATTACATTTGTCTGTTTATCTAAGCTTGGGGAAAGTGAGAGTCCATGCAAAAACAAATTTAAATTGAAGACACTGGCAAAATCAAGGTTGTTCTTGTTGAAAAAAGTACTGTAAACATAATAGCAATTGTACTACAATGCTGTGCGCTGTGACAGTCTTGATGGACAATCACATCTATTCATTGATGAGGTTCTTTTAAATCTATCGCTGCTCATGTGCATCATTCTTGGATGCAGAATATGTCATGTATACCAGGTGTTGACAAAAAATGCTGAAAAGAGGAGCTCTCTCTCTCCCCAGATAAGCAACCATTGAGTCAGCTAATTGTAGCTGACATTTCCCCTGTGTTGCTGAAATCAAAAATATTTTGATGTATTGATTTGCTGGCTTGCTCACAAAAAGGGGGAATGGTGGTTTGGAAATGTCACCCTTTGGTGGTCTGGTTAGAGAGTCTTCGTGGAGTGATTTCCTCTGAGTGAAGTCTTTGTGAGACCGTCAGTGCCAACTGCTCGCAGCACGTCCTCCTGCGGGAGGGAATGATCAGTATGCAAGATCCCCTCAATGTTTTTCTGCTGGAAAATAAGCCAGAACATCTGTTGGCAAGCATGAAAAGAGACAACCAGTATGGTTTGCTGCAAAACTTCACCCCTGTACAAAAAGCTGCCAGATAAAACTTCACAATCACAAAGTATCCAGATAAAAGTTAGAAGGTTAACTGTAGAAATATATGCCATATTTTTTTTCTTCTGTGACCTACAGAAGGTCACCTCATAGTCACTCATTAACTAATGTAGCTGCAGTATGTCTTAGCTATTTACACTATATAGACAAAAATATCAGGACACCTACAGGAACTTTTATGACATCCATTCTAAATCCATAGGCATCAATACGGAGTTGGTCCCCCCTTTGCAGCTATAACAGCTGCAAGGCTTTCCACAAGATTTTGGAGTGTGTCTGTGGGATTTTCCCCATTCATCCAGAAGAGCATTTGTGAGGTTATGCACTGATATTGGACGTGAAGGCCTGGCTC